GAGAATCACAGTTGAACTGAAAGAAGGTCAGGGGCCGAGGCCTCCAGCAAGGAAGAAATCAAAGCCCAAAGAGTTGGCCGCACCTTCTCATAAGCAGACCCCTGTCCATGATCACCTTCAATAAAACATCTTATATGACCCAATGTGTTACAGATTAGAGGTATCAAGATGCTCTGTGGCCCAGTCTACTATCGGGAATGAAAAAGATGACCCCAAATATCCCCATTTTTGTAAAAAAAAAATTAGATGCAATGTAGTCCAGGAGACCCAGGAGATTATAGATAATGATGATGATAATAACCAACATACACACAGCAACCTACATGCCTGAAACTGCTGGGAGCTCCTATGTCCTGTACTGCCTCATTTAATACTCACAGTAGGCAGTATTTCACAGATAAGGAAACTGGGGCCCAGAGGGGTGAAGTCATTTCCCCTAACTCACACAGCAACCTGCAACAAGAATGCTAAGATGTGAACTTCATCATGTGAATTTTAGACTCTTCCAATGCTCTTGCCAGACCAAGGCAAAATGTGGTAACTGCAGCAGACACCTCCCACAAAATTTCTAGCCCAGCCTCTTCCTAGCTGGGACCTTGGCTAAGTTGTTCAGTCGATGTGAGCCTCAGCTCCCTTATCCTGCCCTAAAAGCCCTGACCAGGAGACAGCCCTCTGTGGATAGTGGCACCGTGCCTATAGCCTGCTGAGGGCCAAAAGAGGACAGACCAGGAAAATTCCATTCAAGTGGGATTTGGGTGAGCAGAAGGCAGTCCCCAAAACCCGGGATTAATAAGGCCGGTGGGAACGTGGGCACAGATCCTAGTATTCTGGCTATGAATTTGGGCAGGTGCCACCTTGGGTGGTGCCCCAGGGTGTTATCAGAATCCTCTAAACTGAAGGACCCCAGGGTCAGAGAGCCCCAGGACCGTTGGGGCTGGATGTGGAGGGTGCACCTGTGTGTGTTCTCTGGATGGCTGGGTGGGGCTGGTTCACGGCAGGTGCGCACAGGCCTGAACTCAGGCTCCAGTTCTGTTCCTGCTCCCATTCCTGCCCATCAGTCCCTCAGGTCCCATCTAAAGTGAGGGCTCCCCTTCCAGGGCCTGCCTGGTATCTCCACGTCACTTGGCTCACA